AGCCAGGGAGGGGAATCGGAAAAAGGAGAGCAGACCTGTGGGTGGAAGTGAGAACAGATTTAATGACCACCACCACCACCGACACCGACACACAGAGCTGTACTCAGCCCAAGGAACATCCAGTCGTCACAATGTACCGGAGAGCAGTCCTTGGGAGAAGCCAGAGGAGGAGCAGGAGGAACCCCCCAGGAGCTGCCCCTCCTCAGCCAGCCTCCCCCCTTTATAACGCCCATGAGGTGATGGGGTGGGCCGCACCGGCAGCTCACTGGGGGCAGCTGCCCCGGCACGGCTGGGCTAGGCTCCTGTCCCAGCCACACAGGGACACTCCTACACTTTTCCCATGGGCTCTCCTGCTAAATGAGAAAACGCTTAACGAAGGAACAGAGGCAGTCTTTAATGATGGCAAATTGAGGGGTTTGTTTTGTTTTGTTATGAGACTTTAGATTGCTTTGATTTTCTGGTTGGGGTGGTTGTTGTGGTGTTGTGGGTTTTTTTAAGATGTGTTCATATGTTTGCTATCAGGGGGCTGGGACGTGGCTGCCTTTTACCCCTGGAGCTTTATGCAGAGTTTATACCCTGCTGAAGGCTTCATGCGTATCTGTGGCTGTGAGTGAGCAGGTGAGGAAGAGAACAATAAACAGAGGTGCAGGACAAATTAAAAAAAAAATGCAGGCAGGAGGTGGTTAAGCTGGAAGTCGGGAGCACAACAGTGGCAAGAGGAAGGTGTGTGCAGGGTTTTAAATGCAGTGAGCCGTGCTATGTTTGAGAAGCACGGTCCTCATGTAAAACCATGTCTGACTTATGGCTCTAGCAACTTGAGATCAGCCTGATTGTTATTTTTGCAAATAAATGTTTGTATTTGATTTAAGTATAATTTGGGCATTACTCTCAAGGTTTAAAAACCTCTGTTGTGTGCAAGTCTCACCGCAGGGACCTCATTTCTGAGTGCCTTTGAGCAGGGCAACAACGTGCCTTTTCTTACTCCCAGGAGATTTTCTTAGGGCTCTGCTCGCACTGGTGCCTGGGATTAACTTGGCTATCTTCCCAGCAGAAGCAGAGCTGCTAGATGCCCTGCACGGTCTCTGACTTAAATAACTTGCTTCCTTCCTTTCTGGACTTTAAACAACCTTAAAACCAACGTTTTGCTATCTGAATTACAGAAATGTTACGGGTATTATAGGTACTCTTCATGTAAAGGATGAGTAGCATTAATACAGCTGGAGAACTAAGTGGACCATGTTATCACTTTTCAAGAGCCAAAAAGTTGCTTTGGCAACAACACAGAAGAGACTGCAGCACGCAGAGATGACAGGTCACAGCATGCAGAACTCTTTCCATCGAGATGGAGCACTGGGGTTTGGGGTTTGTTGTCTCTGAAGCTTTATTAAAAACAGAGGCAGCGGTGAGATTGAGCGCTCTACTGTAGTCATTCACTGGGTAGATACTGTATTTTCTGTGTGTTCTAGGAGAATAAAACAATGGCAACAACAAAATCTCTGGAGAACAAAATGTTTTTACCTGTGATTCGTTTTAGTAGTTGTGGCGCTTACTTTCCCCCCCTGCAGCTTACTGTATTTCAAACAGCTCACGTGCCGATAGACATGCCTGCACGTTCCACCTAACGTTGCCACGATCAATGGAAAAGGAGAGGGAAACTAAAGCTCAGAAAACTGGTTTTGGAAGACAAATAACTGCCAGACCTGATGCATTTATACATCTATGTATGTATGTATATGTATATACATGGTAAAAATAATACATTGAGAACACGTATCTGAAATAGCGTCTGTACGTTATACTTGTTCCTTATAGTCAGATAAATGTAAATCTGTGTCTCCTTTCCATTGAAAAATGCTTCTGATTTCTGTTTTCTACCTAGAGAGTTAACAGCCCAGGGAGGTGAGTCCATGAGGGTGCCTGGCTGCAGGAGAAGCAAATAAGGAAGGAAGAAAAGAACACTTCCAAACCGCACTAGTACAGAGGCAGCACGGAGGTAAGAAATGAAGACGAGGAGCCTGAGGAGCTCCAGCTAAAATCCTAAGCCTGAACAATTCTCCTTCACAGGGGTCAGAGTAACACAGCGTAGTCCCGGCTGAAACGTAGGTCAGCCAGCTGGATTTGTGTTTAGACATTTATGAGTAAACGAGGTAAATTAATCATAGGGTGGTTTGCTTCTCAAGTTGTTTGCCTCAAGATGTAAACCAGAACGTTTGTTTATGTAACACCAGAAACATTTTGGGGAAGAAACACTCCCCTAATAGACAGCCTATGGACAGGATTACACAGTCGCACTACATTTGTAGTAATGTTAATTCTTAACAATGGGATTTCTGCCAGAACCTGAACGCCCTCTCTGATAGAGCAAGCAGAGGTTAAAGCCATCATAAGTCGTGTAGTAATTTACTGCCTGTATTGTATGGGAGCTTGCTTGCCTTTTTTTTTTTTTTTAATAAATAAAGAATTCAAGCTGTGCTGCTGCTTAATAGATCATCACCCGACCCCGGTACTGACGGCGGAGGCACACTGAAGCTCCCCAGCAGCTATCAGAGTCCAGCGCCTCACCTGCGTTGGCACGAACTTACCTGCTGCAAGGGTCTCCTCGGCAGGCTGGCAGGCGTGCACCATCTCCGCCTTGACCTTGTGTCAAGGTTTAGAGAAGAAAACCAGTAACCAAACCCCACGGCCAATGCCAACCAGGCTGTAGCCCCAGTCACTCCAGTCACGCACGCTCTATTCTGCTGGTACCTAAGCATCTGACGGGCAGTGACTGGAGTGAAACCTGGGAGCTGTTCACAGGGGTCTTGCGTTTCAAGCGTTCTTGTTTCTTTCTAGATTGTCGTCTCTGGTTTCTCCTGTATAGCAGCGGCAGGATCACGGAGGAGCGTTCATCCATACATTTGTGCACGCCTGTCATGCAAAGGAAGCTCCAGAGGAAACCGCTGAATCTTGCAGAGGTATGGCTCACGTCCGCACACGAACACTGCTGTGTCTCCAGCTGCAAACAGCAGCTGTTTACGCACAGCAGTCAGCGTGACGCGCGGTTCGCCCTCGCAGAGCACAGCGTGTCAGACTGCTGAGCTGTTCCTCTTCAGCAGGCAGCACAGGTCGAACCAGTCGGAACCGCTGGGCATTACTGCCTGCCAAGCGCCAGGGAAGGCGACTGACTGACTACGTGGCGCGCTCGTCCTTCGGCGGGGTGGCTGCAGCGGTTCCAGTGGCTGGTAACGTCCCCCTCTGCGCGGCACAGCACCGTGTCAGCGGTGCATTGTGGGCCAAAGGCAGGGCTAAAAACTGTGGGGCAGAATTCCACCATGATCTGATCAGCAGGTTGCTGCCCGTTGTGCTTTTGAACGTAAGTTCTGTTGCTTTTTAAAACCAGCATAATAGTTGAACCACAGCACTTTAACGTGATGCTCAGAAACAGTGCCGTAGCTATAGAGGTTCCTGTTCAGTTTGGTAAAATGGTAAAGGGTGAGGGGAACTGGTTAAAAAAAAATGCCCAGTTGTCTACATACCTCATAGGACTTAAGTGTGATTTTACTGCAAGGTGACAAGGCTACCTTGTGCATGGCACCTAAAAACCTGAAAATACATAGTTTGTGCCTGTTGCCAAGATCACAATTTACTTACTAGACTGACAGAGCTGCAAGTTATTAAGGACTGAATCTCTGTATCGATCTGTACAGTACCCTTCTAGCTCGGGTTCGAGCAAAACATGGTAACTGGTATGTGGATACAAATGAGAGGGTAACATCCCACGTGGCTGGTTCCATCTGCCTCATGAAGCAGCAGTGACTCACAGCAGCATGGCTACGATACCATGAATGTGCACTCGAGAGAAAGGGGCTGTCACATCAGCCACCCTCTTAATGCCAGATCAGTGCAAGGCAGGTACCGTCCCTTTCAGCCTTGTCTTTTAATGCTAACAACAACAACAACAACAACAACAACAACAACAACAACAAAGTCTTCCCGTTTAAGGAGGCTCGTCAGGTCTGATACATTTGGTTTTGGGACAAATACCAGGACTCTGTACACAGACACGCTCCGGTGGGCAGACAGTGTAAGCACCAAGTGAAGAGCTTCAACGGAAACCACGAACTTAGAGCTGGAAGCCAGCGGGTGATTCCGCTTGCGGAGCCTTCACAGGAGCATCGTTCTGTACAGTAACAAAGGGACGTCAATGCCCGCCCAGGAAGAGGCAGGGCGGCTTTAGCACTGGGGAAGTTGTAACTGCACGGCCCAAACTCTTCGTTTTGTTACTACCCGCAGCTCCGGCGCAGAGCTGCTCGTTTGCCGTGTGGTTACAGGCCCCCTGAAGGAACACGGACGTGCCTGGTCTTGGTGCTTTGAGCGGTACGTACAGCCGGGACGGGCCTTGGAGTAAGGCAGCGTTACAGAAAACCTGTGCTTTGGTCGGAACGATCAGAGTCTTGTCAGCCATCAGCATAAGAACACAACCTCAGTTGGTGCCGTTTTTAATGATCAGAAAGAATACATTGTAAAACAAAAAGTGAAAAAATTCCAGCGTGATACTTATAAACGAAGAACAAATAGAAAACAAAAAAGCTGCGGGTTTGCCTGATTCATAGTATTTCTAATACAACAGATCACTCGTCTGAGGTAACACCAGCAATAACTTTTTAGTCCTTCAAGGACTGCTCAAAAATTCGGAACAGCAGCAGTAACGCACGTTACGTTAAAAGCGAGACGTGATTTTTAACTCGAGCCCATCCCTTGCCCTCGGCAGTCAGGGATCTGTGGTTGCAAGCAGAAAACTGGAAGTCTGTAAGTCTGTACAGCAGGAGCTACGGAATGTCCGAGTCCCACATGGCACGTCTGTAGCCCTGTCAGTACTTGGAGTACAGCTGATGACGTAAAAATCAGACATTTCTACAGAAAAAAGACTTGGTTCCAGAACAGCCCTTAAGAAATTTAGAATGCTGTTAGTTTGCACAAAATAGCCAAACAGAAGATGAATTCAGAAGTCCAAATTTTGGCATGAGGTAAAACCATGTGCATTTATTTCATCTGCATTCTAGAAGTAGTAAGCATAAAATTAAATCTGTTGACTGTAATGAATTCAGTCACACAAGTGCAAGTCTTCAGCTAGAACGTGTTTTATGGCAGTTTATTTAAAAAATGTACCAGTAAATCATAAAAGAGGGATCATGTTCATTTAACGTTTATTGAAGTATACAGGAGGTTTTCTTTAGAATCAAATATGAGCATGAATATATGGCCAAACGTAAAATCTATCAAATTCAGTGAAAATTTTCTGACTTTAAATAGTAGCTGTAAGAATGACCAATATATATTCTTTGTTACAACCGCCCTCACTCTACAAGTAAAAAAAAATAATAAACATTCAGTAAACATTCTTTCCTAAGGTAGTTTCCCTTATATATCAGTGATTTATCCATTTCTTGTATACATAACTTTTTAAACATACCAATCAGTGGTTCTCACAATTGAAAAATAAAAGCACAAAAAAGTTTACACTCTTGTACAGGTAAATAAAAGATCATCTTGAATTAAACTGTATATCCTTAAGGGCATAGTATAGTTTCAATTTCATTACCTATTACATAATTAGCTTCTTACATACAAATATGGACATATTTGGCTTGTGCTTCAAAGCCTTTGTGTCTAGAGAGTCCATGTCAATTCACCTCATAATTTGAAATCGGCGGGCAGGTCTTTGCTGCTGCTGGGTTTAACCTGTTCGTGCAACACAGTCTCGTCGGAACTTGTGGCGGCGCTGCACTTTTCCGGGGAGTCGTCAGCGTCTGGATCCAGACCTTCCGGGCAGGGAAGCTTCAGCAGTTCTTCCCGCAGCTGAGCTGTATGACGCTGAACACACAAAGAGACGTCAGCGGGGAAGACCAGCGTTAAAACAGAACTTTCACAGTGTTAGACACCGTCCGGCAAAAAGGAGCGAGCCGGAAAGGTGTGGATGTCCTGCTTCAGCGACGGATAAACTCGTCCCCCGTGTTTAAGGACTGGTACTTCCCTTGCAGTGACAGAATAATTAGCAAGTGCTGCTAATTCAAGGGACAAATTAACGGCAGCAAACAGAACGGCAGCAAGCCAGCGCATCAAGGCAAAGTGCCGTGTGTCTGGCAGCTGAGTCACATCTGCGTTCCGTGTCCGCAGCAGGAACTGCCTTGGACACGTGAATTTAGAGAGGTCATGGCGAGCTGTGTGACAGGGACAGACAGATTCGGACACTGATATGCAGTAACTAACAGCAACTTCATTTTGAAGACCAGTCACACGGAAAGAATGCCAGTCTAGCAACAGAAAACAGCGTGAAGATTTTTTTTTTTTGGTTCCTCAGGAAGAAAAAAAAGTCTGTTGTCTGTGTGGACACAAAATACACAAACGATAGGGCTCGGCTGGGAAGGAAGAAACTTCTATCGACAGTTGTAACTGTCGATAAAAGATTAACAGTGTAAAACCAACTATAATGGACCACAGTTTAGTAACTGTGCTTGTCTATTCAAAAAGCTTGTTTTCTGGCAAGATACTGGTGGTAGTACAGCTTTATCATAAGCCCCCACCCACCCTTAGAGAGAATAAAATAAACTCTGAATATCTTACATAAATATTTATAGCAGAATAGGCAGGGCAGGCACTAAAGGAAAATCTGACTTGCAGAAGAAAATACCACGGCAGTGGAGCGCACAGGCACCTTCTCTCTCGGCAGCCGGGATACTGGGCTGTGTCTACACGTTTTAAAGGTGCTGGGGTGTTCTGTCATTGTTACTACAAAGCTCAGCTGCTGAGCAGTTTCATTGCCATTTGCCATCTTTGGATTAAAGAATATAAAATTATAAGAAGAAGTCTCACCTTTAGAGCTGCTGCGTGATGGGACATAGTCCTGCCTACCCGTTTGTCACTGCTGTACTGCTGGATGTCCGCTATCCACTCCTCACACTGAGCCATGATCTCCACTCTTTTCAAGTAAAAATGTTTGTGGATGACCTGCAAGAAAACATTCCGAATGGAAGGAGCTGCTCCTTGTTTTCCAAGAACCATGTGCTTTAACACCACAAGAACTGCAAGACCCCTATGTCTACCTGGATATAAGGGGGGGGGAGGGGAGTGTAGAGGAAAAAAAATCAGTATGAGGACAATTCAGCATTGATAAATCGTGGAATTTCTGTCCTTGGAGGTTTCCAAAACTCAGCTGGAACCTGGTCTGAACTCAGCTGATCCTGTTCTGAGGAGGTGGTTGGCTTGGACATCTCTTCCAGTCTGCATGAACCCACGACTCCGCGCAGCCTGCCACGTCAGCCTGCACGTGGGTGACCGGGCGAAGGCTCACCGAGTGCCACGAACCCAGCTCCACGCCCGGGAAAAGCAGCGGCAACAGCAGAATGTTGGGCGCGTTCTGCGGTTCAAGGATGATCTTGCTGCACAGGCACTAGGTACGAATGTCTTGTTGGCACAGGGGCAGGGTTACACAGACAGTGTTAAGGCTTTTATCGTCGCCTTCACAGTCCTGTTTTATTAAAGAACCACGGCAGGAAATAGAAGCACCGGGTCTCCTCCTGTCACCCACCGCCTGCTGCCTGAACAGAGGGAAGAGAGAAGCAGGAGCGCTGCCAGCAGCGTGAGCATCGGAACGTAGCATGCTTCTGCACCGAGGGATCATACCAGCTGGTGCGGCAGATGTGCAACCGCAGTTACGTGCCGGGGGCAGAGGCAGCGCCTCTGGGGACACCAAGCTGCCCAGGCAAGAGTAGCTGGAGCTGCCCACAGTTTGGGTGAGAACCAGTATTTGATCGCACAGTAATTTTGGTATTTCTGTACAGATTTGAGTTTTAAAAAACCCAACCAATCAACCCTCAGACAAGGTTGTGAAGCTCTACTTAGTGTTGGCTTTGTCTTAAACAGTTTTCTAAAGCTCTGCCTGGTGAAAGAAACAGTAAAAGCAAAGAAATTTTATGAGCACAGAGAGTTCTTGGCAGTATTGCAACACAATTGACAAAATCATCTTTCCCTCTAGAGGTCAGAGCACCCAACTATCTGTCTGAAGACAAACTGCACATGAAAGGATAACAGACTTCAGTTCTGGATGCGTTCCTTCTGTCCGTAACGGAGCCTGGAAGAACTCCCAAGATAGGCAGTTTAGATCTCCGGAGCCGACCTGTCATTTCAGATGCTGAAGGGAAGACAGCTCAGGTTTGTGAAGACAAAAGATCTTGGGAGCTGAAGGATGCACGTTCTTTCTTAGCCCTCCGTTTTCAGGGTGCCTTTGCCTTTACGTTACGGAGTGGCCATCATTGCTGGGGTTCCTACACACCCTACAAAACCCTGGAGGCCTTAACACCAAGCTAGACTCTCGGAGATGTTTTCAACATCTGCCCTTTGGTAACCACGTGCAGTGCCCAAGTCACCTGTCCTCGGGGATCGACGGGTTTCCCAGTGAAATGGCACCGTTTGGACACACCTCACTGCTTTCCCTCCTGGGGGGAGGCAGGACGTCGGCTCTCGAGCTGCCTTTTCCACACGCAGTCACAAAGCTCAGCTGTAGCCTAAGCGCAGTACCGCTGAGATGCTTTTGGGAAGTGCAGTACCAGCAAACTGGGATTCATTTACCAAACACTGCGATACTGCATATCCTTCATCTCTGCACACGTGCGAAGAAAGATGGAGCGCTGTTGTCAGGAGGGCCACCATCTTCCCTTGTCTTCAATTCGGTTAAACTTAGGTAATTTGAGGACTTTTTTTGCAGAAGTGCAATTGTTACGTTTCACGAGGAGGTTGTTTGATTATGTGTCACAATACCATCTTTACCGTTGTCTTCAACTTAGCGAGTAAAACACCAAAGAGGAAATTTAGGACAACCACTGTGTTTTTCTCCATTAATTCAAGACACCAGAGTACACTGCAGGTCCTTTTCCACCTGCACGTGGATAAAATACGTAATTGTCATGTAGGTGACGGGTCTATGGTTTCTTATTCCACAAGATACGGTCATTTCAATGGAAAAAAGGTTTTTGCATTCCACAGGATGCTTTCATGGACAGCAGGGAAGGGGTGGGAGACGACCCCCTCACTCAGATACCACACTTAGCAGTGTGCATAATCCTGAAACAACTACGCTTTTTCAGCTTTTGGCATGCAGGCTGTTGGAAGCACGGGTGATGGTACAAGATGGCGCCACACCTCAGTTTAGAAGTGGCAACAGTTTTAGTGGTTCAGAGTAAAATGTGGTTTTCTCTAAGTATTTTCTGGTAGTGCCGTGTGATTACTCTAGTTTGACCAACCGTTGGGCATTAACATTCATACAGATTCTCATACTTTGTGTATCTTCAACTCTTTTTTTTTTTCCTTGAATCCTTTGCCATGTATGTTCAAGCCCCTGAGATCTGTTTGACCTGTTTTGACAGCCCCTCTCCCAGAAAAGAGCCCCCAAAGTCAGGCGCGTCCTTATTCACGCCAGTCCCGACAGTCAGGTGCCCCAGGGAACGAGGCGGCGGCTAGACTGGACGTCTCACGCGCCATGTTTCCAAGTATTTGTGTTACTCCTCACACGCAGACAAGATAAATAAACAGATCAACACGGTATTCACCGTGTCTCACAAAACCCACCTCCTTAAAACACGGGGATGGATTTCTGATTTGTTCCAGCATCGCCCACTTGACCGTTGCCTGCCGTATGTTCCCGTCGTACTCCCTGGAGCTCTGGGTGCCGCTCGGTGTGCCTCTGGACCGTTCATAGCCCGGCTCGTTGAAATACGGTTCTGCCACCAGTATCAGGGACTGGACAGACACCAACACCTGTTCAGAGAAGAAACGAAGCGTTAGAATTGTGCCACCCACTTGTTTTCACACGTACACATAGCTGGGCTTGCCGTGTATGCGAAACCACTCCTATGGCAAGTCCTGTCACTGGCAGTACCAGTTACTCGCCAAGCAGGGAACGTCCTTGCTTCCGAACCGACACTGTTACTGCACAGAAAAAACTAAGCCCTATGACTGTGTCCTGCGACTGAGAGAATGACAGATGTCAATGAAAAACTAACAAAAATACAAGTGTAAGTAAAAGAAAATGTTTAAAGGAAGAGATGTCGATCGCACCCTTTTATAAAGGAAGTGTATTTATTGTTTGTCAAGATCTCAGTCAACAATTCTCGAACTTTCCCTGTGGATAAGCTTACCAGTTCTTCTAATTCGGAATGAAATGGAAAAGGAACGAGGGAGGTGAAATGCAAACCCCTGAAGCTGATCTTGATATACGCACTCTCCCATTTTTCCTTTCAAATGCATTCAATTGATTTAGGAATGTTTTTAGCCCCTTAGTTTCAGATTTTACATGTAACACTGTGGGTCACATGCCATTACACAAAACCTCAGTCCTTCTCTTGAGACAGGAAGGAAAAAGTTTTCAGTTCTGTATCAACAAAGCACCAACTATTCAGTGATAAGGAAACAACAGTTTTGCCCCTTTCAATTTTATTATCAAGTACATGCGGGAATAGATGCTTACATACATACGTATGTACCCAAATATTCCTCATAAAAACCAAAGAATTAAATAGATACATAGGGCACTTAGGAATCCACATGTGTATGTATTGCATATTCATGATTAGATGGCTCCCTAATTTTTCCAGTATTGGAATGTTTGTCACTGCCACCTCGCTGTTGTACTTAGCCAAAATCATGTTACATGCAAAACCGCTGTTACGTAAGCAGAAAGACATAACTGACTTTTGTTGAAATGTGAAACGAAGGATGGGTTTTTCTTACATACACAGGCCAGAGTCCAGCTAGAATTTTAGGGATGACAATTCTGTGACACAAACCTAGTTCCAGGACCATAAAGAATTCAAAAAAGGTTATTTGAACACCTACATTTCCACCAATATTGTAAAACTGATGATACGTCACACGCCGCAGAACGGCATTTCCAGCACCCGGCATACTTCGGTGCAAGACATCCACCGCAGGAGATGAAAAATGTCAGGGCAGCTGTTTTGGGAACCGACTCTCCTCCCAGCCTGGCTACAGTTCAAAGCTCAGAGCCACCCCCTCATTTAGCAGCCCACTTTGTGAATCTGGGTACGGAAGACAACAGTCCTGCTTTTCCTTGGAACACGCCGGACGTGCAGCCGCCATCGGACAGACACCGCGTCAGCCACAATTCAAGGCTCTGGCTCTTCCACAGGGCCGTGCCCCGCGAGGGGGCAGCTGTGCCCTGTGCTCCAGCGGGCGCTCCCGCCGAGTTTCTCCTGCAGCGGCAGCGCCAGCACAGAAGCACTCCAGCCGTCAGCGCGCTCGCCCCACCGACACAACACCGCGTGGCAGCAGCCGCCCGGGAGCCAGCTGAACGACCCAGGGGACCTCAGCCCCACCGCCACCTCACAGAAAGACGCCCTCCCTCCTCCCGGTGCCATGACACTTTCTGCCTGTACGTGCTGTGCTGTAACTACAGCGCGGAGCGGCAACGCAGGGCAGGCCAGTCTGTGTCCTGACAGACAGGGCACGTGGCTGTGCCGTGGGGGATGTGAACCAGCATCCCCTGTCGGGCTGAGAAGGAAAAGGAAACACGTGTTTCTGAGTCCCAGGCAGGTGCTCCCACTAGCTGCTGTTCCGGAGCATCACCTCCCATGCCTGCCATGTGTTCAACTAGAAGCAGCCATGGCTATTCTGTGTCACCTTTAAAAATCAATATACAGCACGTGCCAGCAAGAAAATGGCCACTTATGACACTAAAAAAGGCAGAACGCTAACGCAAGTGTGCTGAGCCAAGGTAAGAGTACTTCAGGTCCAAGGCTTCAGGTCCCTACGGTGTTTTGGTTGGTGATCTGTGGCCTTTCTGTGTGGCTGGAAGTAGTTGGGGTTTGCTTTTGTAATTTTTATATTTTAGGTCAGTATCTATCTATCTATATTTAAATAGCTATGGTAGAGAAATACGATACTACGCAGCATTGTACTTTCTTGGCCTTAATAACCAGTTGTTACTTTGAATTATAATTGCAACGAATGAGACACTCTAAACTGATCTTCCAGTTTCATTTGGGTTATAAAAGTTAATTTCTGAACAATTTTGGGTGGTCTGACAATGGTTTAATCTTTGAGCCAGAAAAAACATGTCGTTCTTAATTCTTTCCAAACAATTTATTTAGTCCTGCAGCTGTTTTCCATTTAACAGCTATAAAGTGTTTTTCTCCCAATATGGGGGGGACACACTTTTCTAAGAGCTTTCTTACTGTTTTCAGAATGAAACCCTAAAACCACTTTCAAACTTGAAACTTAAATGCTGCATGAGATTTCTAGCAGTCAAATTCAACATTTTAATCTAAGAAAAAAAGACTTCAGTGAATATAAGGCTTCATAATACTTGAACCTTTCTACACTGATTTATTGTTACAGCCCAAAATTTCAGTTCATCTCTGGATTAAGCAGTTGTATCTTGAGACATAGTGATACTATGCAAGGAACCACAACTTAGATCTCCAAATCATAACTGTCCCCTGAAGTGAGAAGAAAACATTCCTATCTCCAAGGATTGAAATTCCAAATCTCTCTCGGACACCTGTCCTACTGTTTCATCACCCTCAGTGAAAAAGTTTTTCCTAATATTTCACCAAAATTCCCCATGTCCCATCTCGCACCAACTGGTACTTGTCCTGGTGCTCTGCATCTTTAAGAGGTGTCTGGCTCCACCCTCCCTATACCGCCCGCCTCACACCGCTCCCCTCACACCTCACGGACCAGGGTACTGCACCAGGGTACCGCGGAGGCTGCAGCAGAGGGTTGCTGACGTCGGAGCCAGCTGCGCCGCTGCCCGCCCTCTGTGCGGAGCCAGGCACCTCACCACCTCACCGCAGGAGGCCAGCAGGTCTGGCAGGCGCTGCTCACCCCCAGAAAATCCACACGAGCTGTTCTCAATCACTTGCTTGTCTTCCCTGTACCTGGAAACAGCTCCCAGGAGGATTTGCTCCATATCTGCCCAAGGACTCGGGTGCTGCCGGCCAGCCTGCAGCTCCCCAGATCCTCCTTGCCCGTCCTGAAGCTGGCTGTGGGATTTGCCGGGAAGCTCCCTTGACTGTTCCGACCTTTCCAAGACGAGAGCCGGTGGCTTCACAGCGACACTGGCTGGCTCCCTCAGCACCCCTGGATGCAGGAGATTCGGTTCCATGAACCTGGGCGTTCAGCCAGCCTGAATTTCCTCTACTGTGGGTAATTCCTCAATCTCACAGACCCTCCTAGTGAGGGCTCAGGGATATGGGGAAGCAAACCTTACCCCTGAGGAGTGAGGCAGAGATGACCTCTGCCTTTTCTATGTCTTTGTCAGTAGGTTCCCTGCCCCACTGAGCAGCAGGAAAGCCTGAGGAAAACGTGGTCTTTGCTGCCAACATACTCGTAAGAAGCCCTTCTGGTTCCTCTTCAGATCCCTTTCCATATTCAACACCAGCTGAGCTTTGGTTTTCCCAATTTCTCTCCTAAATGCTTGGCCAATGGCTTTATTTCCATCAAGCAGCCCATCCCCTCCTTCCACCTTCTGTATACTTTCTTTTTGCACTGAGCTTAGGCAGGGGTTCCTTGTTTGCCCACGCTGGCTTTCCAGCTTGGCTTATGCTCACTGGAATAGGCCATTCTTGGAACTTCCAGCGGAAAAGGGACAATCCCAAACAAGCTGAAATCTGTTCTGCTGAAGCCCAGGGCTGTAATTCTACTGTGCTGAAACAGCCTTTTAGGATTGGGAACAGAAAAGGTACCCTGTGCCACGTCATAATTACTGCAAGAACGAACAAATTCAGGAAGTGCCACAGGAGATAAGGCACTGCAAGCTTTGCTTTTACTTCATGTCTGTGCATTGCTGTGACAGAGCTGAAAAGATTAAGGACCAGATGTCCTAATAAATTCCGGTCTAACTTAACACTAGTTGTTATGGAACACAGTGTACCTGCACCTTAACGCCCTTCACCCTTACTCCTCTATTCAGCTTACTTGCAGACTTTGGAGGAGCACCTTCCCAGCTCGCACCAGTATACTGCACTTTCTCATCTCTCATGATGTGGAGCCTGCTTTGTCTTCACCATAAACAGCTTGTGACAGTTCTGTGACAGAACACTATCTGAGTTCCAGGAAGTGAGGCCATCTTCCAGTCTTTTTTTGGTGGGTTGTTTTTTGGTTTTGTTTTTGTTTTTTTTTGGTTTAAAATATTTTAAATTATCCAAGCAAAGTCCAGGCAGCGCAGGAATGAGATGCGCCCATGAACAGCTACTCTCCAAGAGAGGGCCAACACAAATATTGGTTGGAAAGAGCACGTTGAAGGACTTGTCTACTCTTACAGTGTTTCTTTTCTAGTGTTCCAAGAACGTTTTCTGGACTTTTGTCTTACTCGTGCCATTTGAGGAAGAAAATTCTGGTTTAAAAGCACTACAAAGAGAATCCTTAAGATTGACAGACCACTTACTACTCCTAAATGACACCTACCGAAAAGAAAGAAGAAACGCTCACCTGCAAAAAACTTGATGTTTGGGGATTCCACTTCTCTTCTGGCCTCCCATGCCATGTGTTAAGTATGCTTAAACACACCTGAAAAGGTGACATCATTAGTACCACAAACAAATATGTTAGAATTGTTCTGTTTGGGCAGAACAGAATTTCTGTTCTCTAATTTCTAAATTTTCTAAATAAATACATACATACATAAATGAATGGATCATGATACTGTCCAATTCTTTGCCTTCCTCTTTAAATACTGTTCTAACACTCATTGTTGGGGTTTTCAAAGACAGTCATTCTGCTTAAGGACCTGAAAGCACTTTCTGTCACACAGACTATCGAAGAATTGAAAACATTCCTTAACTTCTAGGACTGATCCGGACTTTAAGGGAGTCTGTGGAGTTCTTCAACCTCATCACCAAATGGAACAATCAAAGACACAAAGGGAACACAAAGCAACAAAATAAACAGAAGAAATTTAGAGGCAAGTATTTACCAAGCCTGAATGCGAGGCACAGAAAAACGGAGACGAAGTCTCCAGTGTGAATGACACTCTCTGTCCGTATTAAGAGAACACCCGGTGCCTCGTACTGCAAAGGAGCATTGCAGTTTGTGAGAACAGGGAGCACGGGGAGCCCATCAACGACAGCGGGGTCAGGGCGAAACCTTAGCCTATGGATTAAATGTTTAGACCAAACAAAAGCTGCAGGAGGGCCGCAGCGCTACGGACAAAGCTATTTTGAGTCCGTGCTTCGGTGGAGCCGTACACACGGCCACCTCTGGAGCTCTGCAGGGAATTTCAGGTGTGCTGATCTCTAATGTAAATGGAGGCTGCATCTCCGTGATAGGCACTGCCTGTCGGTTAGCCTTCTGCCACAACATACCAGGGAGATGGGGGAGGGAAGGGGGAAAGCTTGTTTGTGTTAACTTTTAATATTATTTCCAAAAGCTCTACTATTTTTTGAGAAAACTGCCATTAAGTCCACATTTTAGAGTTACATTTTCTTATACAAAGGATACCGAGGTTAAGGAAAGTCTTTTTCTTCCCTCAGGAAAAAGCATTTTTGCATGGAAAAAGAGAGACAAGGCGCTCGGCAAACACGTTCGGTTGCAGCTGATATGAAGCGCACTTTGTCCATGGAAAGGATCCTGGGTGTTTCAGCTAGCCAAAACAGGTTTCTGCCTGGTTAATTTAGCAAAGAAGGTGGAAAAGAACATTTCTCTTGGTCAAAATTTCTTGCTTTTTGGTCCAATCCATGTCATAAAGGCATTAAAAAAACCCTCCAAAACTCTTCAGAAACGAGATCACTCCCATTTGAAACTGTTAAACCACTCTTCCTTTCAGTCTGAAGACCATTTTTAACCAAACAGCTTCCCCCAGTCTGTCAGGAATGGCTGATCATTCGATTGCGAAAGGAAAAAAGTTCCATCCACTTCACCTCGAGACATCTATCCTCAGGCACAAAGCTGACCTACCTTGCCGTCGTTGTAGAGGTTTGGATTAAATCTCACGCTGTGGCCTCCAGTTGTTTCCAGGTTCACAAGCGGAGGGGAATTCGGGTAGTCTTGTGGGAAATAGACATCAAACTCAAAGCAACCATTTGCGTAAGGGGTGTCTGCAGGACCAGTAATGAGAACCTACCATGGTGGAAAAGAGACAAATTTTCAAAAAAACCCCTTGTATTTGTCACGCGGTTGAGATTTTTATAAGTAACACGAGATGTTTCACTTCCACATGCTACTTATCAGGAAATGCCGCTGTCCATCATCATCACACGCAGGCTGTCAGTCTGTTCATTCCGATACCCTGGGTCACTGAAGCCCTCTGCTAACGTTCATCTCTCCAGATCACAGGTGGAAAGCAAAACAGAAGGAGCTCAAGCTCTACCCTCTGTTGGATGCTATTAACAGAATTTTTCTTCGAACTTCAGGTCCAGAGGTACTCAGTGTACTTCTCCAAACCTACTGCTTCGAATCGCCTCCAGTGGTACACTTTGACCGTAACGGAGCTACAAAAGGAAACTCTTTCTTTTTTTTTTGAAGAAGAATGAGCCTTGTTCAGTGATGTCTCCGTGGTGAACAGAGCACTCCCGGGGCACATGGACTCTCCCTGGCCCACACCAAGTTACTGAGAAACCACAATCAGACTCTAAGATTAAGGTTTGGAAAGCAATCAAAGTACACGTGAAATGCTTCCGGTTTTCCTTAACATTTAAGGCACCTTCTTGAACATTTATAGGCCAAGCTGGAAGAGGGAAATAAACACAACTCTGCTTCGTTACCTTCATGATGTCAAGCCGCTCCTCATCACAACGTACGAAGACGCTGGACGAAGATGAGAGAGGCAGAGAGGTTGAAAGCGTCACAGCTTCTTGAGCAAGACGTCGGGCTCTGGCAGCGCTGTTGGCGTCACTTGCATTTTTCACCTGAGACATGTAGTGGTAATTTACTTTAAAAACCAATTTTCCATCATCATCTTCAGAAACCATTTCAAATGTATCTAGAAGAGAAGAAAATTTTAATGCATCAGGAAAGCAGTAAAGTTAATCATGGATTAGTCTTGGATACAGATTCTGAGTATTAAAATCAGGAAAGTTTAATTTGCATTATGCTAATGCAAAAATTACATGTTTTGTGAATGAACAGTGATCACAGAAAACAAAACGTTAACAGCCCTGGGTCGATTTAGTTTCTGCAGCAAATTTACAAGCTTTTGCCTGCCATGTTGTGGAATGTAACCACTTCTGATCTGGAAAGCTACCAGCTACGCCGGAGCAGGAACATGATGGCACTCGTAAAGACGTAATAATGCTAATAAAGGAATCGGTGTGAAGCAGAGGGCCAGCGGGATTCACCTGTGTGGTGGCTGCAGTGTTACTAAAGAATTGTAACAAATGACAGCGAGGCCACTTTTCTTTTATCACATACTACGCAAAACCTGCAGCACGACTCCGGGGTGACAAGCACCACAGACATCCCCACCTCCCACTCCCGGCACACACCCCACAAACGCTTGGGAGGAAAATCCCTTGCAAACACAACACCAAAGAGCTGTGGTTGCAAACGCTGTCACTGAAACTCAAAAAATACCCACAGAACATGTTTCTGCAGTGATTTTATAGCTCTTTTTGGATGAGACACTACTTGTTCTTTATGAATTTTTTTGGAACATGTTCCCCTTATGGCCAAAATAAGCACCGATTCCTATCACGTTTTCCAAACCCAACACATTGCACTCCATGAAAGGACACGACGACGTTTACGACAGTTTGATTTTCAAAACCACATTTTGATCTGAATTCGATTCCATTTAAAAAATAAAAGCTACATTAACAAACATACAGCCACATATGAGCCTTAAAAAACCAAAAATCTACTAACATTTCAATATAGTCTGAGGACTGAAAGACTCAAATCATTACTGGAATGAAAACACAAACCCCATCATTGAATACATCTGGTCCCTTGAATTAATCTAGTGTTTGCTTGAAACACTGCTTATTAGTTCAAAGGGTGCATTAGGTCAAAACCTGAAAACGGAGACTTACATACTTTCCTTCACGTGAAGTGTCAATGGTCACAGATGTAGAAAAGCTGGTAACTTTCAAAAAATAATTAGGCGTTCTGTCCAACAGATTACATAGTTCTGTACCTGCTTTCTAACACACAAATATTCACACTTCTCAACCTACCAAACTGGAGTTTCTTCATGACAGCTACATACTTTTCTTCAAGAGACCGTAAAACAGACAAAGGCTTGGGCTTCACAGCAGCCTTTTTGGAGTATTCAGCCATCTTCTTCTCTGTTACATAAAAACGGGATGATTATTTGTAGTTAATCATGTAATTTTGAGACGAGTACAGCAAGCATTTGGGGATTATTTACCTTGAAATGACATTTTATGATCACATTGTGTGCAGAGAAGTCTCAAAACTGGAGATCACTCACAATATACCAACCCACCTTTCTCCCTACCATGTATTTCATTAGCTGAACAGCTCAAAGTAAATAAAGCAGCAGCAGCAGTCATGATTGGAGAGCATGACCTATGAATATTCTTTTCCTGTTTCTCCTTATTTTTTTAATTCAAAATCAGAAGCATGACACATGCCTGTGTGGCTGGACATCCACACATGTATTCTCAATGCACTCTCCAAAACCAGGAGCCTGTGACACGTGCCTTTTAAAAAATCTGCCCCCCCCCCCCAATAAAACTAGTTAATCTTTAGTTTTCTTCACTAGACAGCTGGGCAGTCCTTTGAATGCCTGTAGGTTCAATCCATCACTTAGATTTTTGTTCTGCATTCATCTAGTTGAGACTTAATCTAGTTCACAAGATTCAGTAGAGGCTTTACTACTAAAGGCCCTGCACGTTGTCTTCTGCAGAGACAACATGGTGCCACATAACTGGGCTGCAAGCCGTGAGACGTACCTTGAATCGCTTGTATTAAAGGTTTCCATCAGGAAACAGAGTAAGACCACCAGAAGGTTCCAACTGCCTTTGAAAACGTAGTCAGTGGTTGGGGGCAGGAGGGAAGCATTTTTTCTTGCTTTTAAGCTAATTTACAAGTTATCTGTTAATGAACGTATTACAAAAAACCACTACAGAGTATTTACAAAAGTATGTCTGTTGTACCTTGGTTTGCTTGGCGCAAACTGGTGGTAGCAGCATAAACGATCTCTGCAGTCTTTTGGATGTCTGGCACCAGAAGTGTCAGCCCCTCTGGTTCTTGATCAGACGTATCTGGTTTTACTCCTGCTTTAGCTTTGTCTTTTTTAGACCTGTTTTGGGCAAAGAAATAGGATATAGCATGAGGGACTGTTTTTCAGCCAGTCATACAGTACTCAGCGTGTTTGTCAACAGGGAATAATACTAAAGGTTTAATCATGATCCTGTAATCAAGTCTTCTGAAGTGGAACATCTCGGTGCATCTCCAGGTTTATCACTGAACGTAGCAACCGGCTGTGACACCACTGCCCGCACACTCTTGATCTGACAAACCAACTACACCTGCTGTGAACCCAAAGGCAGCGATACCAGCATTCCTCTGCTTCAGCCGTTCAGCGCTGTGACCGTTGCTCTGCGTGCTGACTTTGTCTTCGGGCATTATCAGGAAGTACTGGAAAGGCTCAAGGAATCAGCATAACGAAGGTCACGTTGTGGATGTGCATTTCATGCACCCATGCAGATCTTCCTGCAAAATCGAGTCCTACACAGGCAATAAAGTACTCTTTCCTCCTGCACAATACACCAGCAATTATTTAAAGCACACTAATGGTAAAACACTAGGAAACCTCTAGTAAAGATTCACAGCAGGTCTATGAACTACAACCTAGGCACCGCAAGACCGTAGGTCAAAAATGAAGTTTGTCTGTGTCTGCAGTTCTCTTCGGGCTATAGAAGTTGTGGCCTTTTATTTCAATAAACGCTTTAATGTAAAGTAATTCTAAAAGCCTTACAGCTATAGAAGGCATCTGTATTATATTCATGTTGATAATCAACGCACTGCGAAGAAAAATGTCAATTTAAACAATTCAATTTTTATAATGAAATCATTTGAAAATACAGTATATACTAACAGCATTGTTTGACAGAAGCTAGTTGGCTAGTAATTTAAGATACGTTTAAATATTTAATTGTGACAACTCTGTCTTCACTAGCATATGTATTCAATGGTTGAAATACAGACGTGGTATTTGATAACACTGTAACCAAAATGTGCATATTTAAAAGCTTCTCTGCTTTAAGAGCTAGCATAAATTTACATTGTTATCCTGCAAAACTTACAGATGTTAATGCTAACAGCCCCCTGATTATTCTACAGCAATTTCTGTAAATTTTTTGTTTGAATAGCGCTTGCTCCCTTTAAGACCCAAACAAGTTCAACAGCCAAGAAGCACTGGTTTTCTCTTTCCCACTGCCACACCTAGAAGCAAACCAGAAAACTCTCTACACAAGAAAAATTACCAATTTTATGCTTTGATGTCCCAAACATATTTTAGCCACCACCACACACTGTATCCTTTATGTATTTAATCTGGACTGAAATCACGCATAAAGAATGAGTCTCTCAACTATTCAGCAGCGGTGATTACAGCAATACTGGAAGTCTTTCTACGGTACCTAATCAAATGAGAGGATCCCTGGAGTGCATTAATAACAAAATTCATTACTGCAGCCTGGCACAGTTTCCCTGTTCAAGCTGTAACCCAAAAGGAGGTTAGCCCGTTGTTAACTTCAAGCAATACTGAGCTTTCAGGTGCTCAAAGTTAGGAGCCAAACAGTGTCATTCAGCACTTGAGTAATAGTTTAAGACAAAGCAGCAGCAGCAGCTGCTTCTCCCATTCATACTCTCCAAAATCCTCATCACTGCCATTTTCCTCCTAAAAATCTAGGCCAGTATTTTTCAAATGACCTATTAAGCAGGTTCAGAAACATGTATTTAAGCCCACTGAACCTCAGGATAACCTGTTTTAACATCAGAGACACTCCAGCAGCCACCAGTCCCAAGAAAGGTGTACAGATTTAGAACTGCTTCCTGTTAATGGAGAATCCTTAAGCTATTTGCTACAAAAGCCGTGCAGAAATTTTGCCTAAAATGAAATGTCCAAGAGAAAGATGCATGGAAAGCAATAAAAATGTGATCGGTGAAGGCACTGAAAGCGAAACGAATTCTTACAGATCTATTTTCAAGACAGTTGTCTTGTTGGTCTTTCATCTTCCACACGGTTTCACCATTTAGACAACTGCTTTTTATCCTTCTACTTGGTCTTAGAATCAAAGTTCAAGTGTTGGCCTCATTAGACAAATTGCTTTACCACATGCTTAAACCCTCCTACGGATATACCGAGTTACCGACAGTCAACTACCGAAGCAGACAAGGAACGTGTATCTCGTTGAGGCAGCAGGAAAAGGAGACACCTACTCAAACGCAAATTCTCAGTACCAATAATTCCATTTCCTCTCGCTCTCCCTGCCCTCCAGAGCAGTTAACGCTCAGCACTTCTGAACTATCAAAAGAGAAAGTGTTTCCTTAACCACCAATTGACGATTCTGTCCACTGTTATCTTGAGTAAAACAGACAAAACCCCCTCTCCTCAGAACACCCTTTTTAAAGCAAGTGTTTGCAGAACCGCCCCCAACCCTGTCACCTGTACTTCCCTGGAGGTTGCGTGACCGCCCACCTCAGCGGGCTGCCCAGCTTCCGAGTCAGGCCGTAACTGTGCAAAAGCAGCTCAGGCAGCCAAGTGCAGGACTGATCCTGCCCTGGACACAAACTGCTCCCCCCGCCCGGGTTCAGGTTTGACCTCGGTTCTGCCTAACCAGGGATTTCAGTCCGTTTCCAGGCTTTGACAGATTCCACCTTGGAGGCGGGAAGCAGGATTTCCAGGGGAGTCCGAACGTTACTCCCAGGACAAAATTGCAGCATTACTGAAGATGATTTTGTCTGGTCCACAAACCTGTTTCTTAGTGTCATCTGAAACACACAGTACCACTTTGTGTGCCCATGGAAAAGCAGCCTGGTGGCCACTCGACCACTTGTGAGCCTGTGTAACGCGGGCAAACGGAATCATCCGTTGAGAAAACGCCACCCTCCCCTCTTGGCGTAGTCTCCACGTTCGGCTGCTGCACCCGGATTCAGAGCCGCAGCGAGCTCTCGCCAGGCTGCATGTGACACACAAGCGTTTCAGAGGGATAGGCAGAGTCCCAGCTCGAGAGAGGGATTTGCTGAGCATTACAAGGCTCTCCCAGAAGTGTACGAATGAGGAGATGAGACACCAAAATTAAAGTGATAAAGTCAGTGAGATCCTTCAGCTCCTTCCCTGCGCACAAATTCACGCATGCAGATAAACTAACAGTGTTCCCAAACTCCTGAGCTCCAGTTGCATGTTTTTCCATGGTATTCCAGAGAAACATGAGAACCAGTAACAAATAATAAAACCACAGTCAAATAGAAAACCATGTGAATATTTTGCTGTACGTTTTCTCTATTGTTAGAAAACGTTTAAATGGCTGCACTACACTGTACTTTCTTTCCACCAAGAGTCTGCTTGTGAAGCAAAATTTAATGCAGTTATTTAATACAGGCCAAACCTTTATCTAAACATTACAATTTTCAGAGTGGAGGAGGAGCCAAATGTTTAATTTAGAAACTTCCCCATACAGTTTTTCAACCACTGAAGAAAAAGCAGACAAAATCATGTCAACTCATATTTAAAGGGATGACAGTCATTAATATATTTGCTAGAAGAGACAGCAGTGTACATGCTAATAATTTAAGCCATTAATTTAGCTTGTGCTAGAAGATGACAGCATTCTCTTCATGCTGTGCTAAATGAATAATGAATGAAACACTCCCAAGGCTACTTTAATTTTTAAAGCCAATACTAATACTTACCCACCCATGCCTGATACTTAAGAGACAAACGAGATGGTACGGAACGACGCCTTCATCAAAGTATTCACAAACTGAGGCCGATGAACCATGCAGCCCCTGTGCGCTACAGGAACAGTGCTTACAGCAGAATTCTGCTCAGTTTTATATGGGCGCTCACTGTCCTGGGATAAATCTGTGACAGGTTTGCAACCGCGGTATCACTCAGCCCTCGTGGCCCCCCACCTTTGGTAGGTCTCCACAGGTACCGCACAGAGGCTCACTTGCTCCTTCCAGCAATTCACAAGTTCTTAAACCACTCTCCCGAAATCAGGCAAAACAAGCAAGGGACTGTGCCTGGGCAAAGCTCGTAACCTCCTCCAAGGCGGCTCTGCATGCTGCTCCTCGGGCCTCGAGCGCTGTCTTTACAGCCGCTAAGCTGACGCATTCCAAACCAGCACGGGCCGCGGGGCTGCTCCTGCAGCCAGCCATCAGCTCCGAGCAGGGGCTCGAGAGTGCAGCAAGAGAAACCGGCAGTTGTTTTGCCCTTTAAGGGAAAATAATTTAAACCAATCAGGCCTCAATTCTCGGGACCCAATGATAAAGAAAAATTTTTGTTTGCAAAACGCACCGTTTCACATAGAAGTTCTGCAAAATAACAGTGAAAACAATGAAAAGGCACTGCAGGGAAAATGCCTCAGGCCTACCTGCTTGTATTCTAGCAGCCCCACGCCACAGAGGAGCATCCAGATCATCACCACCATTTGACAGGCAGGGCTGATCCATTCAGCCAGCCTCGGGACCGCACAGGACTAACGCTTAAGGCGGCAGCGCGACAAGCAAGACAAGTGTGAAGATGACAGGATTCAGATCTCCCTCCAGAGTTCTATGGGGGTGGCCGGGGTGACGCGGGAAGGCAAAGCAGAGTTAGGAACTGTAGGCATAGGCTCGCCATACTCCCCGTTACACAAATCAACCGCCGGCTTATTTTGCCAGACGTAGCGATTTGCCATGAAGCTCACCCAGCGGACGGGGGCGCAGGTGAGCCTGCTTTGCCACTCGGTGGCAGTTCTCGGCAGCAGAGGGCTCAGCCGTCAGAGCGAGCAAACGTCTCCAGCTCACCCGTGGCAACCCATGGTGCAAGCCTGACCACTCCGATTAGTGATGGCTTTTGACTCCCTAGCGGTCCAACAAACAGTTGGACCGAGAAATCATCTCAGACTTAAATGTCTTCTCCATTATCCAGAAATTTCCCAATTTTCTAACGGAACACTATGGCCTCTGAAAGTAAATTAAGTCAAATGCTAAGTGGAGTCCAAACCCAAAACTGTTCCCCTTAAATTCTGGACCCAAGTGGACACTCTCACTCCAACATGGAGATGACATTTGGTGGACGTGCAAGTAGAACTGCTGTTCAGATAAAGGAAAGTTCTGTGTCTTTGAAAGTAGATCCCGTAATGATGTTGTTGTTCTGGCATTTGACCTAAAAGGGGCAGCAGATTGTCCCATTTAAGAAATTCATGCCAACACTTCCTTATATTTCTGGCACACTTTCAGCTAAAATGCTGAGAAATAAAACCTTCCGCCCCGATGATCCCAGGCTGTTCAGGCTGTTGGTGTTTTCATCCCTGTCTACACACTGTTTTAAAGACGAACGGTACGGTGCTTAAACCAAGCAGTGAAAGACACAACGAGATGTCTTTCCGAGCTGATATATCAAAGTAATACAAGAAAATTGTACAGATAATGCAACTGAACCAACAACGGAATTTTTATCAAACTGATCAATTATTAAAATAATACTGATGGTGCTTTAGAATTTTTGTCTTTAGATCCTACACTGACACTGAAGAACTAGTGATACCGTATTTTACTTTACCAAATTAAAAGGAGCTTATGAGCAGTGGTCATGTGCCATTCTCACAAAGAAACTGGTTAGACTTCAGCCTGGGGAAGTGACATGAGAAGATACACGTTTCTATGCCCATTAAATCTGAGGATAACAGATGATCAGATTAGCAAAAAAAAGTGATTGTGGTGGATAATTTTATACACATATCTATACTGGAAATGGATTACAGAGAAGACAAACATATTTTCTGTTTTAAGATGATCACATATACCACGATCTACGTAATATTGCCAGCAAGCACAAGCTGACATTTTTAGATGGGTATCCAACATAAAGAACTGTTATTTGCCCTTCCTAATTCTGTTTCTTTTGCACTAAATGGGCAAAAAAATCCCACCACAGGTGCCTCACATGCTTGATATGCAAGACTAGCAATCTCAGTCAAGAAGGATTAGAGAAACTTATGGGTAAAGTCCAGTCCACCAGGAGTTACTAGAAAGAGTTCCCAGTAATGGGATTCCTGCTTAGAAAACCTCTCGGGTACTGGTTGGTAAATATTCTCAGTTTATAGTGGGAGGAAGAACATTCTACACACACCTTTTCCTGACATTATATTTACCTTGTTTTCATGATGTTTCAGTGCATGCTTAGGGACAGCACTAAATTTTGTAGGGAAGGACAGGTATTATTGCCTTACAAGCCATCTTTAAACTGGAAACAAGTAAACAGAATCAAGAAACCAATTAATTGCTGAAAGCAGAAGATTATTAAAAGAAAGAAATTAAAATTTGTATTGCAGCGTTTGCTTTTCCAACTCCTCAGTCAGGGCAGAAAAAGATGATTCAGCCATCAAAACCCCCCAAATCCTTGTTCTGGAAACTGGAATGGTTGAAGACATAAAGAAACAGAGATGGAAAGATGGTTGTGAAATCTGTACCAGCTACAGCAGCTCCAGATGTGGGAGATCAGGAGGCATGCCAGGGCTCCTGCATGTGCCACCCTGCTGACTTCCCTCCAAAGAGCCACCACAGGCAGCACCATCTCAATCAAGCAACTAAAAACCAGGTCCTCTCAGACTGGTATCCTGCCCTGTGAGCCGTAACAGAAGAGCAACATTTCACAGAAGGTGACAGTCAGATCGCAGCGACAGCAGCACTTCTGGAGAAAAGAAGCCACAGTTTTGCAGTGTGAGAATTGGCGATAAAAGCAACCATAAAATAACACACGTGAATCACTCAGAAGTGCTCCGAGAAGATGTTTTGACCTTTGGAACAGTCAGAAACGGCAAAAGAAACAGCAGGAAGGTAGAAGTCTGTAGTTTTGGCTGTTACAATAATACAAAGCTGCATTGTATTTGTCCAGAACGCGCAGTTCCTCTTTGTCAAATGAGAATATTTGATGGAGAAGTGATATAGCAGTTCGGGTACTGGTTGTTACCGAGTAGAACAGGAAGAAGACTGCTAGTCTACATTTTATTCTTCTCCAACATCTACAGCCCAACCAGCTGGGGGGTAACAGGACAATAATACCAGGTTTGACAAAGCAAAACTGTCTCCTAACTGTGGACCAAAATCCTCAAGGAAGAAAACCAGCTAACAATTATCCTCGGCCTGGAAGAGAATCTGTGTTTATTATTGCCTTTACAGGCATTTCACAAAGGGAGTTACCTAGAGGCTGGTCTATGGTTACTGAAAGAAACAGTTATTCACGGTTTGTCTGTCTGCGTTCCCTCAAGAAGCCAGCTGTCCCCGGAAGGTGTGCCCAACAGGCCCGTACAGCATCACACAGCCCAGTGCCATCACAGCTACGGGGTCTTCAGATACTTCTCCGTTTGTTTGCCAATTTCTCTGCCAAACTGCAAGCGTTTGACAGGAACTGTCAAACACAGAGTTCCTCAGAGAAGGCTGAAAGACCCCAAAGTCTGGCATGGATAGCTCTGGGGCATTCATTTGTAAATTCACCTCTTCAAATCTTCAGCATACCGGCTGACCTCTGATGCCTGTGCTAATGGACAAACAACAAGACTGTCATAAAATCACCACCGTATATAAATGTGTTTTTTCTATGTAGCACCAATGAATACCACTAGTCACAAATTTACCATCATCTGTATACAGTTAGGGTTCTCACCACAAACAACAACTCCCAAATCTTTTACCTCCTCAAACTTACTCTTCCCGACAGAAGCCAAAGGCTTCTCTCATAACTGGTTACCCTCTGACGGAGAATCCATTGGGGAACCCGGTCCTTAGTCAGGGGGTAAAGCAGCACAGCAGCATACAGAAGATAGCTGGGCCATTTTTCGTGACAAGTACCATTTGGTTTGACCCTCCCCTGTCCCGTTCTTTACAGAATGGGCTTCTTCAACAGCTCCCAAGGAACGCTCCTGCCTTCAGCCTGACAGCGGGAAATGCACAGTCCCGCAAAATAAACATTCACCTCATCGAAGAGGAAAGAAATTTAAGAAAGATTTGAAGCTCCTAGATTCTTGAGCAGCAATCCTCTTTCTGATCAGTGGGCAGTTCCTGATGAAGTGACGAGAGTACACAAACCTACCAGCTTCTGTGTGGCATACAAAAAAAAATTCCTTGTAAATAGTACAGCAAAACAGAATATACACCTATAAACTAACAGGTGGTTCTCTGGGCTGCAGCACCCATTCACATAAACATACACACTGCATCTTCTTTCATTTCTATATTCATAACCTGTAAGTACAACATACAGTTTAAAAGAGGGTTAGGGAAGATAAAAGCAATTACCTCAGTCGGTTGGTGTAGGTATCTACACAGGTCTTCATTTTAGCCAACAAAGTCCCAACAGAAGCTTGTGACTCCAACTGTTCCTCCTCCTCTTCACTACTTTCTCCCGACAGAGGAAGCAGTAATGGTACCATCGACGTGCAGGATGCAATAGCACGGAGTAACTCTAGCAGAGCTCGGTAAAGGGGAACATGCCGGGCCATATCCAAAACTAAGAGAAAAAAAGTTTACAAAAATTACTAAAATTGAAGACCCTCTGCTCTTAGTACATATGTTTTCAATAGAAAATCTAATTTTAATAATTATTAAAATATGTATGACATTTAATTATAAAATACAGTACTTTGTAACAGCCATTAGTAATTTGTGTTTTAATGGACTTGTCCAGAAAAAATTAGATAAGATACCTGGAAAACAAAGGTTAGCAAAAGACACAAGAGGACAAAAGTGCTAACAAGGTACGGAACAGGATTACCACATGCTGTGTTCATTTCTAGTAGCTTAATACACAACCCCGGCTCAAGCTGCATGTTGACAGGAATCACAAACATCTGTCTATGGAGGAAAAATCGTAACCGACGGTGTTGATCGGAATTTGCTGATTCTGATAGCATTCCAATAGCATAAGCGTTAATAAAGACAGACTTTCATATCACCCACTTTATTTATAGGTCTCTTCTCCTTGAGGAAGATTTGTCTGCATTATTGCAGGAATATTTATGGGCATGAAATAAATGATGTTATCTACTAAGAAGTCTAGATTTGTTTCTTTTCATGGAGAAAGTATCGTTTTAAAAACCATTACACATTCTTCAGAGCTTGCAAAGGATGAAGAAAATACAAATCTTATCTGCATACATATGAACCACGAAACGGTAAAGATGAATAAGAATATATATTAGGTAGGCAAACCTCACTGTCTTAGTGCTGCTCAGCATGATGCATATGTATTAGAAAAGTAACTGTGGGTAGAATATAGATATCAGCTCCTCTGACTAGGAAAGACAGGGAGACACACACACAATTCTAATGGATTCTGCAGCACCACATTGTTTATTTTTCTTTTCCACTTGCTTGGACAAACATGCAATGGATGTCATTTCAACTGACTTTGTATCATTAATAGAAATCCTGAAAATGGAGCAATATACAGATACTTTAACACAGCTGCTTCCTCTGTCCCTAGGACATGCTATTTTTAACCTAACAGCAGAAAAAAAAATGCTCTAGTTCAAAGTATTTACAAATGACTGAGTTTATGATAAAATAAATTTATGCTTTTTCCAGAAAAACCCCTGACAAACAAAGCGCCCCTGACAACTCGCATTAGGACAGAACAAAGCATAGAACAACTCTTTAATGTTTCATTTAGCACATCTCGCCCTCCAAGCTACAGCAGATCACAAACTTTCATCTCCTGTCACCAAACCCTTAGCTCTAAATACAGCACGATGGCACAGTATAAATAGCCAAGCAAATTCAACGAGCCGGTTTATGTAGGTTTAAAGCTGGATTTAAGAGTTCTTTGATCAACAGCTTGCTCTTCGTATTTTGAAACCATTACAATGGCACAAACTCTTAACTGGGTGAGGTTCCGTTGGGCTGAACAAGAAGAAAATTTACTGAAACTAAACAATCTGTCAGGCCTGGTATCATGGCTCTAAAAATATCCTGTGTCAAAATATTCCATATATTTAAAGCCAACTCCTTTGAATTTAAACATTGGCAATAAGAAAACCAGTTTCAATTATCTGTCAATTCTCACGTTTTACGTATATAAACGTATCTTATATATGTGTATTTATATATACTATCTCCATTCCTTATGCTCAGTCTCTATTGAAAAATGATTGCCCACAGGAAAATCCCCACAATGTGTAAAATGGCATTAAAATAAACATTAATAGATCTGATCATGTGTGAATTAAAAAGAAAAAGAAAGAAGAAAAAATGTGGGGGAGGGGCAGGGCAAAGGAAAGGGAGACCACAAAACCCCACAGCCCTCGCCAGAAACCACCTCCCACCTGTAGTGGTAAAGATCAAGCAGCTCCTCAATTTGATCCATAGCTGTTTGTTACGAAGGGAGCAAGTGAAGGGATACACGACCTCTTAGATAACCACAGCATTTCAGGTCTGGAAAGCTTTTATTTATTTATTTTAACCATGAAATTTTCATGAGGCCAGAATACATAATTTCAACTCCTTCAGTGCTTGCTTGCCCTCTCCTTTGCTAAATGGATAGTTAAATTCAAAATTACTGTCATGAGGGAAACTGAACTGACATAACTTTAAAACGAGAATGTTTTCCAGAAAGACAGGAGAGAATTCCTGGTTTTAGCAGATTCAATTCACTTGCACCGCTTCACAACTGTTCCCACGTGAAACAAACGAAATGCACTCCCTGGGTTTCGATTTAAACAATCTTGTAGGGAACAACCACCTATTTCTTCTCCGTTAATGCTAGGCTCTTCTAAACTCAATTTCTTGATTTCATTATGTCTTACAGTATTTTTGTCCAAGGCCTGTACATACTTACTAAGGATTATGACCCAGGCAAGTGTGTTTGCCCAAAATGTCAGGATTCCTCCCCATCCCCAATCTAAATCCTAAAAATATTTATCAAGACTGGATATCTGGGTATCAGAAAAACTTGCTGTAAAGAACTGAAAACTAGCAAATTACTCTTTATTGCATTTATTTGGCAGTTCATCTACTTGTGCCCACTTTGCTTTCAGTCCAAAGAGAACACCAAACTCACTACGGTATACGTCTTCTGCAGATGCAGCTCTGCCTTCTGAAATAGGTTAAGATGACTTGAGCATTTTTTTAAATATCTATGTTTACATGTAATTAGATGTTCCAAACTGGACAACACTCAATTTTTAAGACACTATGTTTTCAGCCACTACAACTACAAGACACTCCTTTGCAGAATACCCCCCTGGCCCAGACCTACTGTTGGCTAACCTGTCCATCCCCTGGTGTGGCCGGCTGCACCCACAAATGTTCCAACACCAGCCTTCTGGACTGACGGTGGCTTAGCACGCCCAGCAGCGTTCAAACTAGAACCTCAGTGTTCAGGCTGTACCATCATCATCTCTACTGCTCTCAGTGTCTGCAGCACATTCAGTTAGTTGGGATTTATGAGAGATGTCTTCCCTTTACATATCATCATGTATGTGTTTGGGGAGAGCATTTCAGAAATACAAATGATACAGCTTTGTAAAAAATTATTTAGATCCTGTAACAAAGTCCTTTAAAGGGATTAGTATTAAAATACTAAAAACATGAATAAAAGTATAAAATACAAATCTGCAATGAACAAATCCTACTTCCATCAAATAGAAGCAATGGAACCTTCAGACTATCATCCTTGCACACAGGTATCACCAACTAAGATGCAGCAATTTGAATTTTAAGCAAATATAAACTTCAATGAAGAACAAGCGGTAAAAGTAATCCACTGTTGTCTTCAAAGTATGCTATTCCTTGGGAACATACCCAGTTTTTTCCTGCTGGACTGAACTGAGCAATGCAGG